ATCATGTATTATTCCTCTGCCTGAAATGATCTTCTCCCCGATTCTCCATGGCTCTCTCATTATTTTCTTTGCAGCTCAAATGTCACCTCAGAGAAGCCTTCACTCCTCACTATATTTATAGAAGCTGAACCCTCAGTAACTTTTTATCTCATTATTTGATTGCGTTGTCTTTATAGTGCATATCACTAACTGAAATGAATAAGTAGTGCCTAGAGCATGGGTTTTGTGACTTTGGCCCCTTTAGCAATCTAGTGAGATCTATGGGCTCGTTGTCAGAATAATGTTTTTTTTTATTTTAAAGATTTTATTGAGGAATTGAGGGAGGAGAACAGTGTTGGGGAACCAGGAAAGGGGAACAGGCAAGTTGATGTTATTTTGTTCTTCTGTCTACTTGTGGAGGACGTCACTTCACTGGCTCATGTTGGTATTATCATTGTGCTCTTCCCGGGTGAGGCAGTCGCTTGCCGGCCTCTGGATGGCTGCTCCCAGCTGCTCACGGCAGCTCACGCTGGCTGCCAGCCACTCACGGTAGCTTATGGCAGCCCATTGCAGCAGGGTCTGCAGCCTACGCCATCGCAGGGGACTCACGGCAGCCTAGCCCCAGGTCGAGGTGCCATTCACCATCTTAGCTGCAGAGGGCAGTGTCACTGGCCCTCATATGTGGGATCCGAACTGGGGCCCTCTGGCATCCCAAGCCAGTTCTTTTTTTTTTAGCTGAGCCACCCTGCCACCTGTTGGCAGCTCAGCGGCAACTCAGCTTGGGCTGGACTCGAACCGCTGTTGCTCAGAGCTCAAACCCTTGAGCGAGCTCTTAACCAACTGAGCCACTCGGCCGGCCCCCAAGCCAGTTCTTAACCAACGTGCCACTTGGCAGACCCCAGAATAATGTTTTTAAATGTCTAAAATACACCAATTATACTAAAAATACAATTAATACCAAAATATGTTAAAATTGTGACTTAGTAATCCATGTACTTCTCTATTAATTCTTGAAGTAACAGTATCTATATGCAGGTCTAATAACTATCATAATTTAAAAAGTATGATGAGTATAAATTCTATTTTGAAACATTTGCAACAACTTTAATAGGAAACAAAAATATTGATGATTTTTATTGGTTATGAAATCTCAGTTACTGCTAAAATTACTGTAGGTTGTTACCTATGTTTGTACCTGAGAAAAATGATAAACTTTAGTTAGAGCTTAGTGAAAAAGATGTGTTTTCTTCCCTGTCCAAGTTCATGGATGCTATGAGTTCTATCCATAAGCCCCTTGGAGGTCTGTGGACCCCAGGTTAAGTGAAAGATAAAACAATAGTGATGAAGAGGGGTAGAGTATGTTGGAGCTGGGTTTTGTAAGAGATGGAAGAGATCACACTAAGCCAGGGAATAACAAGCTAGAAGAAAGCTCCCTCTTTACCCCTCCATGGAACTTGGGTGTGAGAGATATAGAAATTTCCAGGTGAGAATGATATGAGGGGAACAGCATCTTTGAAAGTGAGTTAGCTATCACTTAGAGGAAGGAAGCATTTTGTGAGGAGGTTGCCTGTGGGATTTTGTTTACCATGGACTGGAGTCCAGTAAGCATAACAGAGTAGGGTGGGCGAGATGACCACTGTAGGAAGATGAGCCATTGGGAGTGGGAGTGGAACTCTTATTGTATTCCAGATACTGAAGAGACAAAGATGAATAAGACAAAGGTGAATCACTCATTTAAGATTAGTTTAAACCAAATCCTTTTGGTTCATGGCTGGTTTGGCTGGTCCAATTCATGCACAGCTTCAGCGACCCAGAGGCAGCAGTGGAAAGATAGGTCTAGGGCAGGGGTTGGCAAACTTTTGAGATGGAATATACCCAAAGAGCAGCATGTGACTCATGAGCTGCAGTTTGCCAACCCCTGGTCTAGGGTATCACTAGAGAGTCAGGGGGAAAAAAGCTAAAAATACACCATTTTCCTTCTTCCTTTCATCCCTTTTGTAGAGAAAAATACTGAAGTTAAAAAAAAGTTATGTAATGGAAAAAAATGAAGTAGTGCCATGGTTAGGTCATTGAAAACAGCCAGTCATCAAAAAATTTATTAGAGGGGCCGGCCGAGTGGCACGATGGTTAAGAACTCGCTTGGGATGCCAGAGGGCCCCGGTTCGGATCCCACATATGAGGGCCAGTGACACTGCCCTCCACAGCTAAGAT